ATACGAACCGCTCTGATTAGGATTGAGAGGTAGTGAGCGGCGGCGGCTGCGCTGAGTGCTGCGACGGTGGGAGATCAGCAATAAAATCGGGTTGGCATTTAGTTACCAAGTTGGAGCACACAAAACACGCACAATCGTCACTGCACTGGATTTCCGGGTAGTAGGGGATTAGGTTTTCAAAAGACAGCTGTGGGTACGCGTCCGCCACGTTTAAGAAGGCACTAAAAAGACGCCAAGGGCGAGGATTGAAGAGAAGAAAATAACGTGATGTGTGAGTGCCTTGAAGGTGTTGCATAAGCTACCGTTCACGGAAAAAACCGCTATTACCTACTCTGTTCAAAAATGCATATCATTATTGTATATAACCTTTAAAGACAAACTTTTATTTACCTTATATTTTACAGTTGCAATATTCGGCACTTAACGTTTTCTCCTATTGGTTGTTCGTTACATGAGTTCCTGGGGTGTCGCAAACTTGAAAGCGGCGGATAATTCAGCTGCCTTTTATTTATTAAGATTTGCTTCTTGTTTATTTTCCAAATAACGCGCTCACTTCCGTTACTATAAATGGTCGTTGGTTGAGGAGTTTCAGCGAAAGTTAACCTATTTTTTGAAATTCTGTTGCATGCATATTACTTTCTCACGGCGGTGATTTCCTACCCGTAAAACCCCTATTACTACCATTCCCGTATTACACGACTGTGAGATTACTGGTCGCGAGGTGGGGTTACACAACCTACCATTGCCAATAAGTACAGTAAATGGTGATGGGTACCTACACTAAAGGTTGTTAGACCCAACACTGCTACTTATGTTTATTATCAAAGTCCCGAATGAATTCAAAGTAGTCAATAACCATTCGATGATAAACGGTCTGTTGTAGAAGTGAATTTAAACTGTCTGAGGACACGGTTGCTTTTCTTCAATTTAATGTAACAAAGGACATGCGTGTTGAGAAATCTCGAAGTATGAGCGCATCCTACTGTAGTAGGTTTCAAAATGACATCTCCAAAGTAAGCCTGTGACAGAAATAACATGCGCACTTAGGAAAAGACTCAGTTTCATTTCAGGGGAGTTGGGACCGATCTAAATTTCACAGGAAATCAAAATCCACAGGGTTGCTTGCAGTAAATTTTTCAATAGAGGTTTACACCTCCCCCCACCCAAAATTGTGGTTCGAAAACGACCTACAACACACGCGACGACTTTTGCCGAGGCTGCTGTGGAAGTGATTATTACCTAGTTTACTAATCGTCTCCAACTATCGCGTCGAATAATGGAGTAGGCAAAAAAGCGAGCCCATTCTTTGAACAGCGCATGTCCACAAGCCCCTTATTTGAAAATTGTTCTTTCAGACAGCGTCGCCTGCGAACTAGCAATGACAGCAACCAGTCAGTATCTCAACTTTCACAACCTGTGACGATTGGAACACATGCTAAGAACATCGCATCAGTCGGTAGTGTGGATCATGTACGAGGCCCGATATGGCCCGGACATATGGACTCCTCTCCCCGGTGTATTTTAGGTGGCCCACGATAAATACTGGAGGTGGTTACGGTTAGTTGGAGTTAGGGTTAGTGTTACGGTTAAGGAGTTTACGGCTGGGATTAGGGTGGAAGGCTAGTGTTAGGGTTAGGAGAGTTAAGTTTGAGGTTAGTTCTGCGAGGGTTAGTATAAGGGAGCAGAGCTAGGAGGGTTAAAGTTAGGACGCGAGCGCAGGGTCACCTGTAGTACGGGGTCCCTATTCCTGCGTCTAACCCTTCAATTAGCATTAGCCGCTTAACACTGGGAATATTTGTGTGACCAATGCCCATTTTTGAGGGCTAAAATGAACCAACGAACACTGGGTGGTTGGTGGTATTGTCAGTACCGACTATATATAGTTCAACCGTCTTTATTGCAGTTCCAACTACCAGTGATCATGCGGCGTTCATTATGTAATCATGGCTGTCGAAATTGATAGCGAGTGCTCTGAAATCACAGCAGAGGCGTCAACCTTCGAATCCGGGAAGTACGGGAAATTACATCAAAGAAGCCATCCCATGAGACAAGTGTCTGACGGGCTAGGATTAAACTTAGTTATAAACGGTCCGTGGATTCAGCTCTGATTTGACCATGACCAATGGCGCTGGAAAAGGCGGTTTCCCCGCCGAAGAGGAAAAACGCCCACCGCTAAGCGCGGGGAGGAGTTCCTTCCACACAAAAACAACGGAAATAGCATGAAACCGGGGGAAGGGCGAAGTGCCGATTAATAGACTCTGCGCTCGGAAGACAGACCTAAAGAGTGAGCCATTCAGGCACGATAGTACATCGGTTAAAAAGATGAGCATCCTCCGAATCAAAGGAGCGTTCATTCACTGCAGTATATGTGTGTGCCAGTAGTAGCGCAGGTAAGTCTGCAGCTTTCAATCTATTTTCCACCGTCCCTGCAGTCGAGCTCGTAGACCGCGACAGGGTTCGTCTCAATGAGGCAGATGGTCCTTAGGCTGGGTGGGTCTTGTAGTCCGTACATCATCCTAATCTTAGGAGAGGGGGGGTGGTAGTCGAGAGGTAGTGACTGTCTAGATTTTTTGGTCCCTCTCCCCGTTTTCGTACAACATTGCCGCGCTAACATCGCTCGACAAAGTTCACTTTCCTGCCGACGGCTGTGCTTCCGCAAATGGAACCACTGAGTACGGCCGGAAACTTTTTCCTACCAAAATCGGTTGTGCCGTGGTTCTAAAGGTTCGCTAAAAAGGATGATGTGCCCCGTGTTTGTCCCCTTCGTCCGGGACGAGTGAGTTCCGTAACACGATCGGTGAGCGTCTCTCTACCACTTTATTTATCCGATCGCGACCGACAGGACGAACGCGTGGCTCACTGGTCAGAGGCGTTGAACTTCTAACTAACAGGTCGCCGGATCGAGCCCCAGGTGTTCTACATTTTGGGGTTGGGCATGACTGGCGGACGACGCCTAATAAGCCAGAAATGGCCACCCCAGTCTCCCTTGTATTTGTCGGTAATGCCATTCTGCCTATATCATGCGCCTCCCAGCGGCTGTTGGTTAGGCTCGAGAGAGAGCCGTAAGACACAACGGGACGAGTGAGCGCCCCTCTACCATTTTAAAATTATTCTAATGAACCTCCACGGAATGAGTATTTTGACCTGGATGAGTGAAATCTAGTCGTTGGTTGAGTAGTCGAGAACTTTTCCCCCAGAAGGTAAGTCTTACGATCCGAAAAGGGCAAATACGTGTAGAATGCTTCGGCTTTGGTGTCTCGCGAGGCGTAGTGCGCACGTGGTACATTGGATTCTCTAGCAGGTGATGGCAAACCACCTCGATGTCACATTAGGTCGTATCGTGTGCAGTAATAATCTCGAAAAATCTGCTGACGTTTTGACTATTTTATGCCACATTGCAGAACACCGTGTATTTCCAAGGTGGAATGGCAGATGAATTTGGCTAGGAAATTAATGTTTTGGGAAATTGAAATGACCGTTTCAAATGTTGTGATCGGAAGTGTCCGCTCAGTCATGGCAAACGTTGAAACCCTGAGACCAGCGGGAAGTCTCCATTACCTTCGATTTAACGCCCAATGTAAAGCCGAAATAATAATAATAATAATAATAATAATAATTTTATTAAAGACCCGTCGGGGTCCCATCAAATCGGCTATCGAACTTATCAGGCGGAGTCAGCTTTCGTTCAAGTTTACCAAACCATTTAGGTACCGTTACAATATTGATCATCAAGCGGCGTAATCCTATGTTTCGGACTCGCCAGGATGTCGGCTTTCGAATTCATTGCTTCTTAACCTCCTACAGAAACTGCACTTGGTAAGAAATGACTACTCAAGTAGCATACATTTTTAACATTGATTTTTGATGGTCCTATAAATTTCAATATATTTTATAGGAAACATGCATAAAAATACGCTTTCTTTTGTTCACTCGGTAGAGAATCACGTTATCTTTACATTTTATACCGGACGAAAGGGTATATATAAGTTTTGAAAAAATTTCCCAATGCCAGAATAATTTCGAGCTTGATCAGCCGTTGCATTAGCTTTTAGCAATTTCAGTCTACAAGGTGCGTGCTTTCGGCGTAATGAAAATGATATATTCCTCTAAGCCTTTAAAAGGATACCATGCAGAGTTCACAAAATATTGCAGTGGATGCGGGCCATGTTCTACATTTCATGAAAAGTTTTGGCGAACGGACCTGTACGATGCTGTATGAATGGACATTGCACGGTCTTAAAAAACCTCATAATTATAAACTTTTCCAAAAGCTAAATACCCGACGAAACGTCGGGTATAAAATGTAAAGATAACGTGATTCTCTACCGAGTGAGCAAAAGAAAGCATATTTTTATGCATGTTTCCTATAAAATATATTGAAATTTATAAGACCATCAAAAATCAATGTTAAAAATGTATGCTACTTGAATAGCCATTGCTTACCAAGTGCAGTTTTTGTAGGAGGTTAAAAAGAAATGCATTCAAAAGCCGACATCCTGGCGAGTCCGAAACATTATAGGATTACGCCGCTTGATGATCAATATTGTGACGGTACGTAAGTAATTCTTCCTACTCGAAAAGGCATTTCCGAATTTCGGCCAACAGTTCATGGGATCGGTCGCTCACTGTACGACTAGACCGAGAGCATGTTATGAGCTTATGAAACATAAGAGCCTTTTAACCAGACAACTTAAAAAGTAAGACTGTTCCAGTAACAAGCTGGCAGCCGCCTGCTACTCATAGATAAGGGTTTTAAAGTAGATGCCGAGGTCTAGTGGATGAGAAATGGGAAGATGAGGGCGGTGGCAAGGGAAACTCACGAAGAACAGTATTTCGTGACCACTTGACGCCGCAACTGGTGTCCACCGGGCGAAATGCAGCGTTGGGTCTGTGCCTCGGTCGCAGTCGCACCCGTCATTGCCTGCTGCAGGCCTCGAGTATCCGCCGCACCGTAGGAGCCACTCTGGCAGGGATCTAGATCACCCACCATCACCACACTGTCCTCGGTAGCACCGCACGCACAGCCTCCATCGCACTCCTCCGCCCCCTCGTGGGGCGCATGGGAGTCGACGGTTGTCGCAGGTGAGGGTGTACAACTGCTCTCCAGCTGTCCGCCACGGGCTACTTCAGCCAGGAGAATCAGGGCAATCCGGTGGTACTCCAGTGCTAGAGGCACTAGATCGCTCTCCTCGTAGCCGGTGACGTGTTCCAAAATGGGCGGCCAGAAGGGGCGTCGTTGGTCGTCAATTGAGCGCATTTGTTGCAGCTTAGCAAGCAGATGCATGTCGGGACTTGGCGCATCCACCTTAACAGCGGGCGACCCAAGAGGCACTGACTTATTTTGGGATTTCTCCGCGAGGGTTCTGCGTAAAGCCGGTGGACTCCTGTGGCAGGGAAGTAAAGAGCACGGCTTTGGTAAACCACACTGCCTAGACTTACTACACAGTATGCGCAGAGACTCACAAGACACTGCCCGAAATTTTAGGGCAACTTAACTGATAAACCTACAGTAGATGTGCTAACTCATGAAATGTCAACCAAAACTTCGAAATGCGTTCTCGTTTCGAAAAGATAAATTAAGTAGTGTTGTAAAACTAATTATGATGCAAAATAAATCTATCATGATCCTGTTAACACAGGGTGTCGGCTTTCGAAAGAACTTATTTTCGGCTGTATGCAAGATCTATACTCTGCAAAAAATGATTACTTAAGTAGCATTCAATTTTCTCATTGATTTTCGATGCCCTTGAAAATTCAATTATATTTCATGGAAAAGTCTTCTTTTGAGTATGAAATTGGAACAAGACGTGATTTTCTACCGAATAAGTAAAAGAATGAATATTTTTATGCATGTTTTCCATGAAATATAAGTGAATTTTCAAGGGAATCGAAAATCAGTGAAAAAATCGCATGCTACTTAAGTAGCCATTTTTTGCAAAGTATGGATCTTGCATGCAGCCGAAAATAAGTTTTTTCGAAAGCCGACACCCTGAGGTAACAGGATCATGATAGATTTATGCTGCATCATAATTAGTTTTACAACACTACTTAATTTATCTTTTCGAAACGAGAACGCATTTCGAAGTTTTGGTTGACATTTCATGAGTTAGCACATCTACTGTACAATATAATTGCGAAGTAATTTGCTCAAGCATCGCATGGGTGGATTTTTGTGTGAATCAGCGCGTCAGACTGACATTTACTTCACGTCAGCCATCGCAACTAACCACATCCTCGATTGGTTTGACGCAGAGAGACAAATGGGACATGTCTAAATGCCTCACGACAAACAGCTAATCTAGCGTTTAAACTATCATGTGCTAGAAGTCGTGGGATAAGAGTCTTCCAAAAGACGCATCAACGCGCTTCTACGCATAACTGGGTGGTAGACTGTAATGGCTCCTCTTCAATGTGGCCTTTGTGGCACGTTCTCAAATGTGAGTTCCAACACATCCCTACTGAAGATTCGCCCACAAAAAAGGCAGAAACGGAGTATGCGCGTGGTACGCGTAGACTCGTTGATGCGTGATCACTCGCCCCCCCCCCCAAACCCAGGCAGATTAACGGATACCTGAGCGTCGGACGTTCTACGCGTGTCCGTAGAACATAACTTCATAGCTCGGAGCAGTTTGCTCAGTAGGAACATTTGGGCTTATTCTGACAACGGAAGCATAAAAGACCAGGAAACCAGACGCCAGTAAGAGCTGGGACAGTCTGATGCACTCACCCCAGCCTCCCGCGCTTTGCAGGGTGTTCGGTAAGTGGTGCTACGTTCTCACTCCCAGCGGAGGCGAGACTGACAGCGTCTGATGGAGGAGGGTTGCGCCCGCCAGTAGCCAATACCGGGGATGATGCGTCTCCATCTGACCGAGATCGATTGAGCGCAGGGCGCTTGTTGCTGTGCATTAAGGAGGCAGCCCAAAGTTCAGCCATGCCAACTACCGAGGTAGTCCGGCCCTTATCAGTGGCACAGCTACGGTAGAAGGCCTGGAGACGGGAGTCCGTCTTGAGGAGACGATGAAGCTGGGCTATCTCCGGCCGCCGCAACCAATCGGTGTACGTGGGATTGCGAAGGACGCGTCGTGCCAGCCAGAGTACGGCAGCCGCCTTTTTGGACTCTCGGCAGAGGCTGATGCTGTGACTGTGCATTCCAGCCTCAAGAAGGAAGCGTGACATGAACTGTATCATGCTGTTGTGCGCGTCCAGTACCTGTGTGCGTGCAAGTGGTTAATGAGAAGAATGCTTGGGATAGGAGAGGATAGTTAAAGTGGTCGCCGGCATCAGCAGGCAGTAAGGTTTGTCTGAGACAGGGTCTTGGACAGAGGAAGAAAACGCTGAGTAGTGCTACACCGGCAAGACGGGTTTACCCATAAGCCCAGGTGGCGGTTATCCGGCGATTCTACAAGCGGCGAAAAGTAAAACGGCTTTCAGAAGAGGTCGGTTCTCAGGTCTGGCGAAGACGCCGTCGTGGGACAGTAGCGACAGTGACACTAAGGCGCAGAGGGCTGGTTGCCTAATAAAATATTGAAAGGTCCGCAGATGGCACTGTGACATGGCGACCATGGACAGCTGCGAAGTAAGTTTGTTTGTCACCGCTGCCTTGTGGTTAGATGCTTGATTCAAGGAGTTAGAGAAGACAATCTCAAACAAACAACGCGACCTTAACATTTCATGAGATTTCTTGGGGATTTTGCGTAGAGGCGGATCACCAGCAGCCGACCGGATGCTTTATTTGAGGTTGTCTCTTCTAACACTTTAGCTCGAGAACCTAACCACAGGGGAGCGGTGGGAAACAGACTTAGTTAGTGGCGGTTCACGGTCGAGCTTTGTGACGCCCTAGAAAGGCGGTCGGTGTGCCCGACCTCAGTCCTTCGCGCCCGGATAGCATAGTCGCGGCTGGTAGGAGACTGCTTATTTGTCAGAACCGAGAGCTCGCTTATTTCGCGGTCAGCCTTTGTTGAAGGCCGTTCCATTATCTGATAACTGTAGACATGCCGGTTTCTTTGCAATTAAACGAACGAGTAACCCGTCGACAATAGGGGACTTGCCTGCACCCAAAATTTCACGAAAGACCATAAAGAAATGTTCATTTCATATAAGCTATATCAGACAAGATCACGGTTCTACCAAGAATAAGTGGCAGTATCAGCAGCAATATAAGTTTCTGCTGTTGTTGCTGTGGCAGTGGTGGTAGTAGTAGTAGTAGTAGTAGTAGTAGTAGTAGTAGTAGTAGTAGTAGTAGTAGTGGTAGTAGTAGTAGTAGTAGTAGCAGTAGTAGTAGTAGTAGTAGCAGCAGTAGTAGTAGTAGTAGCAGCAGCAGTAGTAGTAGTAGTAGTAGTAGTAGTAGTAGTAGTAGTAGTAGTAGTAGTAGTAGTAGTAGTAGTAGTAGTAGTAGTAGTAGTAGTAGTAGTAGTAGTAGTAGTAGTAGTAGTAGTAGTAGTAGTAACGTGGATAGTAGAGGAATGCTTAAAGGAATATATAAAGACAGAAATAGCTGTCCTCGTCTACCTGTCAGTATACACGACAAACCATTGAACCAGGGCTACGTAATTCGGCCTGTGCAACATAAATCCCCACTTTCCCGATTGAGGGGACGGAGGAAGAAAGCAGAATCAGCTGGGTGACCACCTACCCGAGCGTACCGCCGCAGAAAGACGTAGGGGTTGGGCCGGTGGACGTTGAAGTCGATAGACACCAGGAGGCGCTGCTCCGCCTCGATGAACTCATCCTTGGTGTAGGCGTTGTCAGTTATGTAGAGGAAATCACTCATCTTAGGCATTTGTCGTTCCTCGTGCTTGCAGGCCACCATGATGGCTGCGCAGGCCATCAGTTGAATTTCACGTCTACGAGGGAAGCAGTGGGGGCGAGAAAGGAGCTGCAATTAGTGAACTGATGGAGTCTGGTCTTCCTCAGAGTCCCTGCATAGAAAAATCCTAGCTTACTCCCAGCATAACTGCCCGAGAAAGGGCCCGATGCTTCAGAAAACTACAGCCAATTAGTGAGGTTCAGTTGACCCGAAAGGAAGCCTTGAAGGAGGGGGAGAGAGAGTGAGAGAAAGGGGGTTTAGAGTTAGCGACTTTGCGTTCGGGAGCTCTGACTGTCGGACCTTTGTGGATTATCCCATACCCTGTAGGCTTTTTTCATATGTGTTCTGTGCAGAACAAAAGGGTTCACCAGTGATCGGTCATCTCGATATTGGAACATGGTTGGTGTGGATAGAGTGAGGTAGATGACGTGAGTATTAGCCATTCTTTTTCCTAAAGTGGAGGTGCTCATCGCGTGCGTTTTAACTATTATGGTGAACTTCATGAAGGGTCTGTCATTTGCTCATTCACAACGTTGGTTTTGGCAAATTCACACTTATGTTGCAAGGCGCCAATAAACAAGATATGCGCTGAGACAAATTAACAATTAACCTTGTGCGAGATGCCGAAAAAATTTCAAATACACCGTAAAGTAAGCGCGGTTTCACCGAAGTGACCATAACATGATTCAACGGCTTGGAATAATTTCCCCAACATAAAGATCGACCTTTTAGAAAACATGAACTTTCCGCACTGCAGGCTTATCCACGTGTCAGAAGAGACGGCGCTCACGGGGTCATGGGTTTCATGTCCTAAGGGTTCAGAAGTAAGCAAGCATCCATCTTTGGAGGCAAGTTTAGTACGGCGTCTCACAAGACTCCGTTGCTAGTCGTGCGGGCTACACTGTGGAGGGAGGTGACTGATGTCATGGTGACAACTGTGCCCCCCCCCTCTCCCTGTCGGAGAGCGGTGTCGGGATGGCAACGGTCATTGCTCTCGTCTGCATTGTCCGCGTTTGTGGTCCCGGAACCGCGCACCTAGTCCTTTTTTTCCTCTGAGGTGGTTCTCCAAAGGGTTGAGGCACTGGTGTCCGCAATCCACAAACGAGTACTTTGGGCGCAGTACTTGGAAGATACCTTCGTCGTTCTCAGACCGAAAGAGTCTTGGAATTCATGTGCTCCTGAACTCCGTTTTTCCAAACATTCAGTTCACAATAGAGGCAGCGGTCAACAACCAAATAACGACTCTAGACATTCAAGTCCACCCTAAGGCCGATAGAAACCTGAAGACAACAATATACAGGATGGCCACCAACACGAGTCAGGTCCTAAATTACCACAGTAACCACTTGCTACGTCACAAACGTAGAAGCATGCGAACTCTACGAGAAAGCACTCATTCCGCCGCGACAGGCGACAAAACTGCCGAACTGAATTACCTCCGGTGAATGCTCACTTCCAACGGTTCTTCGCAGCTTTGTTGGGACGCAACAGATGAACAAAGCAAAATATACAGGCTAACACCAGAATAGACAAAAGTATGCTGGGAATCATCCTATATAGAGAACATATCCGAAGCAGTTGCTCGTCTCTTACAAGCACTGGGGATCGGCGTCACTTACAGACCTGAGGTGGCGGGAAGACATCCGGTCATGAGAAGTAAGGGTCCCTCCGTCACGGAGCGAAAATGACCAGTGTCCTAACTGTAACCCTTACACTTACCCTAACCCCCTGGAATTAAAGGCAACACCACCTGTATTATAGGGTTCTACATTTCCGTGCACAACCCACGTTCTTCCCAAGGAGGAAGTGTTTTGTGCCTTTAAATCTGTGCAGTGACGACGCAAAAAATCTAATCTATCACACTGACAATTTCTGGTCGAAAATGCTTGGTAGGAGTGAAGAAAAAGAACCCCCTCTCCCACAAAACAAGTCGGACTCAAGAACACCTCTCTTACGGAGGCGGTGGAAATCGGGGGTTTGTGATTGGGCGAATAAAGATTCCCAAAAGCCACCTCTCCAAATGAAAAAAATATTCAGAATTGTATAACGACCAATTATCGTTCAGAAGGACAAGTCCAAAACATAAAGACCGCACAAAACAAACTCAACCAATGTTTAAAAGGCAAATAAATGTGTAATTTTGGCAGTCCATATAATCTGGGAATATGCGAACCTACAGGCCTAAGACACGCAGCCATGTTCTCGTCTGCTATTTGTTTTTCAATTAACGATTTTACCTTTTTCCCAATAATGTCTTCTAGCGCTTTTGTTTCTTAATTCTCACGGGTTTCCGAGGAAAATTAGTTGGAGTCACTCAAGATCGCTTCCATTTTTCTCACATAATTAGTCTTGTTTAGGATCACGACACAGCTTCCTTCGTCAGGTCTTGAGATGACGACCTCAGTAGTCTTACGTAGGTCAGTTAGGGCCGAAAGGTGTTGTCTAGTTAGTAGTGAGCGTTGTGTATTCGGGAAAGTTGTGTATTGATACGTGATATCTACGAATTTCGCTTTCAACCATCTCACATTTTCCCCTGACGTCGGTGTTAGTTCCGATAATTGGTGATATAGGTCTTCAAATTGAGCCTCAATCTCCGTTGGATCTATTTTTCTTCTCAGCACACAAAACTTAAGTCCCAAAGAGAGGGTCTCGGCTTGCAGTTTAGCCAGTTTCAAATCCGACATGTTAACAATGTAGTCATCTGGATTTAATGAAAAGGATTTGTCTACGGGTTGTTTATTTAGCGACTTCATCAGATCGGCGTGGAACGATTGTCTTATCCTAGCTTGCAAGTTCAGAACGTATTTTGTAAACAATAACCAACACATTGGACTCACCGAGTCCATCACAAGCTTTGCTTGGTCTAGCTGGCAGCGCATATGAGAGAGTGAGTATTCGCATTCCTCCATTTTCGAAAGGGTGAGACGGTCAAGGTTTTGTAGTGTGAGCTGCAGGCCATCTCCTCGGAGGGTGTTGCTTAGTTGGCGAGGGTAAGTCCGAGTCTGTCTGCATGATTGTAGGAATTCATATCTGGTCTTTTCTCGGGTGATCTTGCATCTTATTCTGACGAGCTGGTCTAGCGACTTGATGAGAGTGGGGGCGGGAGGCATCATTTCGGTAGATTGAAGCAATGTTTTCTCGGAATAAATTTGAATAAGGCAAAGGCGGCAAAGCATGCAGAATTTACTGATGTCATAAATTTCGAGACCTCTCATTAAAGTGCACACGGTCACTGCATAGTTATATGACAAGGCAAACTGTTTAACTGTTTTATCTCTCTAGGTCGATCGCTGATTGAGCAGTGCAATGACCGTGTGCACTTGAATGAGAGGTCTCAAAATTTATGACATCAGTAAATTCTGCATGCTTTGCCGCCTTTGCCTTATTCAAATTTATTCCGGGAAAACATTGCTTCAATCTACCGAAATGATGCCTCCCGCCCCCACTCTCATCAAGTCGCTAGACCAGCTGGTCGGAATAAGATGCAAGATCATCCGAGAAAAGACCAGATATGAATTCCTACAATCATGCAGGCAGACTCGGACTTACCCTCGCCAACTAAGCAACACCCTCCGAGGAGATGGCCTGCAGCTCACACTACAAAACCTTGACCGTCTCACCCTTTCGAAAAAGCAAAGCATGTGATGGACTCGGTGAGTCCAATGTGCTGGTTATTGTTTACAAAATACGTTCTGAACTTGCAAGCTAGGATAAGACAATCGTTCCACGCTGATCTGATGAAGTCGCTAAATAAACAACCCCTAGACGAATCCTCTCCAGTAAATCCAGATAACTACATTGTTAACATGTCGGATTTGAAACTGATTAAACTGCAAGCCGAGACCCTCTCTTTGGGACTTAAGTTTTGTGTGCCGAGAAGAAAAATAGATCCAATGGAGATTGAGGCTCAATTTAAAGACCTATATCACCAATTATCGGAACTAACACCGACGTCAGGGGAAAATGTGAGATGGTTGAAAGCGAAATTCGTAGATATCACTTATCAATACACAACTTTCCCGAACGCGCAACGCTCACTACTAACTAGACAACACCTTTCGGCCCTAACTGACCTACGTAAGACTACTGAGGTCGTCATCTCAAGACCTGACGAAGGAAGCTGTGTCGTGATCCTAAACAAGACTGATTACGTGAGGAAGATGGAAGCGATATTGAGTGACTGCAACAAATTTCCCTCGGAAACCCGTGAGGAAGAAGAAACAGAAGCGTTAGAAGTCCTTATTGGGAAAAAGGCAAAATCGTTACTTGAAAAACAAATAACAGACGAGAACATGGTTGCGTTGCACAAACCAGGGCTACCGTTACGAGCAGATGAATGTGTGATTTTTTTACCCCACTGACAACATAGATACTAACTAAAAGCCTAGACACGCGTGTTTTGCCGATCTTGTTCCGCTGCCTGACGCAGTTGCCAGGGATTCGGCTCATCAGTGGGTCCTTCTGCCTTCCCTGTGTGTTTTCTGGTATATGAACTCCAGCTTCACCTTGCCTTGTTTAATTTCCTCGGTGGACGCAGACAACAGCAGTAAAAACCGACTACTTGACGCTTGTGTTTCCCATATAAGTCGCGCGTAGGACAGGTGTCCAACGCATTTGTCGAACGTCTTTAAAAGTCCACTATTTGGTATCGGACGCGAGAACTGGCAAGATAGGGTCTGGAAGGCAGTAGATAGACCACCGAACCATAACCAACCTGGGGACAGGTGAACTGTGGCTGAGGCAGGAATATAAAAGACCCCATGCGAGATGTATGGTCTCGTGGTTGAATGCGAAGTTCTCCTGCACTTCGACCATCCAATCAGCGAGGGTAGTCACCATGTCCGGGGTGATGGAGGGCTGCCGACCAGACGAAATGAAGTCGTCCAGCTGGAAACAGGGCTGGAAAAAGAAATGTTCGAGAAGGGGCTACTCGAAAAGTCAAAACACCACTATAAATGACCAGGTGGGGCTGGTTGTGAACCCTTATGACTCAAAATACCGCTAAACACCTGGTAGAAGGACGGTATCGTTGCGAGCGGGCGGTGAAGGGTTAGGAGGAGCAGAAAAAATTATGGGTAGATATTTTAAAGGCGCAAGTTAAGACAAAGCCATTATTGTGGTTGGAGGTCAAGCCCAAAGTTGCTGAATGGTCAACAGATTCCCAATCAGTCAGACTACCTTTTTGTCTACATAATCATTTTGGTACTTTATATCACGGCACGGAACAGCTGAGATAAGATGGCGCAGACGATCAGTGGGAGCCTGACTCACTAAAACCAGTCCCCTAAATGGGCAGATTTAGCCCGACAGACTCATTGCCAACTTTGTTTTAAATCTGAGAAGCCAAGGACAAATTGCACCGAACCTTGGTAAATTTATTCCGCTCCTAGCGCTGGCACCGCAATCTGACGTCATCACACATCCTTCTCCTCCCCTGTAAAGACAAACAGTTCCACAGGTGGTAACGATTAATGCCACCTGGCGATGAGACGGTGGCTGCAGCTGTTGCTGCAGCTGACACGTGAGCGAGGGTAAGTCGACCATGCGCGCGTCACAAGCCATCACCGGAGTAGAAAATATCGGATTTAAACTTCTGTCAGAAATTTCCGCGTGAGTCAAGACCGTAGGGTAAGCCGGTTCAAGGTTAGGTGCCAATGTCGATAGGGATATGAAACGAATCGCGTCAGATTTTTCGGAATAACCACGTGACATTCATGGCCGTAGCAGTAGCATAATTCGACCATAATCTAGAACACGGGTGCTAGCTAAAAGTCCAGGCACATCCTTGGCTGCTAGGAAGACTGGAGTACATACCGGGAGCCACGTTAGGAAGGCAGGGGTTGAGCCCCTTGTGGAAACAACCCCTCACGTCCGCGTAATGCAGCAGCAGAGACTCAGTGAAATAGTTGTCTGAACTTTTAGGCAGCACTTGCGCTGGACTTATGATCAAAATACTGGCTAAGCGGGCAACACTGGATTTGCGGGTACACCCAACCCCGGTGTGCTTTCTATCCCGGCTGAGATAATTTAACAGTTTACGTCTTCTTTTCGAATCAATTTCGAAGGCACTGAAATGAAAATCGAGTTTCCTGGCTTCACCACGTTCAACTACTAGTAGACTTGTAGTAACTCAAGGCCCTCGAGAGTTACTAACTTACAGGAAGCCACGGCGTCTATTTATGAGAACGCATCGACCTACAGATAACGTACTAGGATGGAGATGCAATATTGGCTGCAGTGATGGGCGTGGCTGGCCTCCGACGGCAGACTGCAGACTCGGGAGTTCACATATGCACCATCCATCTGACCCCGGTTAAACTGGGGGTGGACAGCACACAACTTCTTCCAATTGGAAACGCTGAACGGGTCAGTAGGGGAGTAACCAATCTTTAAGGCAATCGAATTGGAGCAGTATTCCGGAAACTATTCGGGTTTTGATGGCGGCAAATGGGTTAGTCCGACACTACTGGGAGTGATGCTTGAGACTGCAATACGTGGCACAATTTCATGCAAAATGGCGCTAATGGAGCACAGATCTTCATAGTTGCCAGTTGCGAGGAACCTGCGACCCACTCAGATGACTAGCCCCCTTGTGCCTGGTGTCGTACTGCGGAAAGTAACCCGTGTAAATATTGATGAAGCAGGCTGTGCAGTTAAAATGCATTTGTTAATGCGCTTCAGGACCTCAGGAAAGGTCACAACGACTCGAAGTTGTCAATCGTATAAAAAAACGTCTTTAAACACCAGGTCTTCACGATCCGACTGGCGGCGACAAGTAGAACAGCAGTGACCATTCCAACACCTCTTGGTCGATAGCACTTCCTGGCTAGTAATTGAGAGCATCGCCACGCGACCACCTGCTAGGACTGTGGTAAGACAAAGCACTTGCAGTCAGACAACAATGGTGAACGACCGTCACGTGACCGGGGCTGGGGTTCGTATAGCAATAACGAGGGGATGAAGTCCCAAGCTTAGATACAGGTAGTTCTTTGGCATTTACGTAAGTTTCATTTAGAAGACGAAGATGCAATCACTGGAACAAGAAATTTATTAGCCCGACGTTTCGGATTCTCACTCGAATCCATCATCGGAGACATTCGCAGACAAAGGTCCCTAGACGTTAGCAACATTGACAATATCAGGTGGTCCCAATTAAAGTTGCATCGGCAAAGAAAAGGAAGGTTGGCATGGTCATTTCCGCCCCCATACCCAGGCAGTGAAGACTCAAGATGTCTGTCCGGCTGCATTTGTTCTACCAATCAGAATAGAGCAGGCCCATTCAGGACAATATGGGAATACGGATCTACCCATTAAGACGGCCTGCTCCCTTACCAGACTGCTGGCCACCAATGCGTACACGGGTGGCAGATAGCCAGACGGCCTTCGGTAAGGGCTAACTGGGAAATAGACAGGCTCCCACGTGTGACGAATAAGCAGTCAAGTAACAGCAGCGGCTGTGTTGACACCCCAGGGGTGGCTGAGGCATGGCACACAGACTGCTTTGTAAAATACAGCTAAACTCGATGACGGCACTGTGGCATGGCAACCGTGAACAGTCTTATCATTATCACCACTGTCTTGCAGCTAGATTCGGCGCAGCCAAAACGCACGATGCGGTAACCTAGAACAAACAATCCAGACAGACCGGCAGCTTCCTCTCCCGTACCGAAAATCTATGCGACAGCGCATGAGATTAAATGTCCGAACAAGCAATGGAGCCCGCGAGAAATAACAAGGCTAAACAGTCCTGGTATGGTGGTGCGAGGAGACAGTAGGCAGGCTGGAATGTTCAACCGAGAACTGAAACCCGGCATCGGATGCGCGAATGTTGGTCGAGTCATTACGCCCAGTCTGACAATTTTCAGGGTCTCATCAACAACGCCTGTAGATTGTCGGAGGCCCGAATCTCGTACTCAGGCTCTAGCGAAAGCGGAGCTCCGTAGGGTGGATTCCTGGCTCTGTCTCTTCTACCATAGGGTTCTAAGTTATTCTTCCGGTAGACACGAGGTGGGCTGATCGCTCTCTCAGGGCAGACCTGGCTGGCACTGTTACGAGGAGACTAGCTAACAGCCAGCTTGTTTGCGCATGACTGAAGTTGTACTTGGCTAGCATCTTTGTCGTTTTGTCCTACACAATAGCATCAACTGCCGATCAGTTGTAGATACCTCTTCGACTGGTGACTGAGAGAACTGGCAAAACAACTCTCCCGCCAAAACCTGACAGATGTTGACACTGACTGCAATAGCCAGACTAGACGATGCGACTTCTAAAACAACCACCTAATTGGCCGGTTTGGACATGGTTCTGGGTGAGATAGTGCAGAAAGATTGCTGGACTTCCCTGAACAGCACCAACTGCTTGTCGCTAAACACCTGCTTCCGGATTTGCCATCATCTGCTGACTCGTCATTCCCACGACGGACGTGCAGTCGGTCAGTAAAATTCTCTCAAATATGTACATGATAGTAGATCAATGCGCGACGCCAAAACCGGCAGTGCCTGTAGTTGGATCATATTCACAGTTCCACCAGCTGCGGGTTTGTCTTTCAGCCCAAAACGTCTCATGTCTGACAACTGGATGTCGTGAAATTACAACAGTTCAACTCACCCAAGGCTCTGAAGACGGAAATCTTGCTTTGATCCGCACACCGATTCGAAAGTCATCATTTGGTTCCTCAGTTCAAGGGGCAGCTGAGAAAATTCTCCAACTCACTCGGCAGCGCCGCAACGACTGTGCCAGCACAAGGACCATACAGGTTTCTGCTTAAACAGCGCGAGTTAGACCCAGCAATGATAATCGCTTCCGCCAACTTTATACGATAGTGGCAACGTCGGATCAGAGAGGACCGCAAAGACTATTGGGCTGAAGTGCTGACTTCCATGAAGCAAGGCTCAAACACCTGTAGCACTTAAAAACTACACCGACTTCTTCGTCCTGTATAACGGGTGACTGTTTGTGGCCCTACCGATGACAACTCTGCCAAGTTCGAGCAGTTTCATGGGCACCTTGAGCGTCATCTTAGCTCCGATAGTCAATCCACCATCCTGTCTCCCCCCCCCTCCCTTCGGCAGAGTTTCGTCCTTCTTCAGCTTATACAGTGTCACGTAATCAACGCAATACTCAGACTGCGCAACGACGCAACCCCAGAGAGGACGACATTCGAGACTGCTCGTAATGACTGGAGCCCGGTCATCCCTGCCTCCGTCGGAGAGAGGTCTGGAGGTGTGTATCACATCAAATCACAGCAGCGAAGACAAAATGACTATGGTGGAGGGGCGCTCATCGATCGTTCTTACGGAACTCACTCTTTCCGTTGTGCCTTACGGGCTCTCTCTTGAGCCCAACCAACAGCCGCACAGCGGCGCATGATATAGGCAGAATGTTATGCCCGGCAAAGACAAGGGAGACTGGAATGGCCATTTCTGACTTATTAGCCGTCGTCAGCCATTCATACCCAACCCCGAAGTGTGGGACACCTGAGGCTCGAACTCGCGACCCGTTAGTTAGAAGTCCAACGCCTCTAACCACTAGGTCACGGGTCCGTTGTCCTATATCATGCGCCGCTGTGAGGTTGTTGGTTGGGCTCGAGAGAGAGCCCGTAAGGCACAACAGAACAAGTGAGTTCCGTATGAACGATCGGTGAGCGCCCCTCTACCGTTGTATATTCCCGATCGAAACGGACAGGACAACGGGCTCGTGGCCCAGTGGTTAGAGGCGTTGGACTTCCAACTAACGGGTCGCGAGTTCGAGCCTCAGGTGTTCCACACTTCGGGGTTGGGTATGACTGGTTGACGACGGCTAATAAGCCAGAAATGGCCATTCCAGCCTTCCTTGTCTTTGTCGGTAATAACATACTGACAAAAAACTGTTGAGCAACGTGAGAGACTCGGCAGATTACATGTTTGGATCCATATACTGTAGCATGATGGTTCAAAATACGCAGCGGAAGGCGCAAATCGGACACCACTCCCACATAACATTTGGCGCTGTCCACCACAACCGACAGAGTTTGACTCAGTGGGTGACTGGACGCGGATTCAAATCCCAGGTATTTTCGTTCTGCAGTTGGGGCATGGTTGATTGGGGACGACAAGTAAAAATAAAATAGCTAACCCAGTCTCCTAGTCTGTTGGTTATACTGCTCAAATCCAAATATGGGTAGTCGAGGAGATTATTTGCTGGAGAAATCGATGGCCCAAACTGATATAAACTGGCGGGCAAGAAGCACGCTAAATGGCTACTGAATGCCTGAATTCGAATCCCCAAATGAGTGGGACTTTGGGTGTCAAAAAACTAGGTATAACAATCACCAACAGGGTCTACCTCTATCAATTAAACAGCAGCCCCTTCAATTAATCAGCCAAAGTAGAATTACACTTTTGCGGGCCAACCGATCCTGCTATTGACTGGGCGCGAATACGACTGTTTGTGATGAAATTTAAATGAATAAACTGAACATGTGGGGTGGCTTCGTATATCCTATTCTGAGTTATTCGAAGGCTTAAACAGAAGCAACGTCTCCCAATTTTAAAAAAAATTCAATGACGAAGGAAGAAGATATGGCATTCAAGACGGGACTGTTTTAATGACTTCTGGTAGTTCAAATGAACTCTGCGGACCGACTTTTGGGTTTTCTTGGTGCCTTCAAAATGACCAGTGGCAGCCAGACGTGTGATGGATCGTCTCCGCTGTCAGATGTGCTTTACTTACTAACTGGAGTGTCGCAATTGCGTCAACTAGATCATCTCCTGCGTTAAAAGTATCGCTCATAAGGTTGTCGGATTTTCTCCAGCTTTCCGCTGACCACGGTGGCTGGAATTGGACTGAGACGAGAGACAATGCAGTTTATTTTCATCGCTTTTCGCCGGTGCTGGTGTGTCCGGTTCTGCTCCATGATGGCACGCATTCGGATTATCCATGTCCCGTAATCGCTTAACAGGCTCTCGGCAGTCGTTGTGGAGTTGACGTTTCATTCACGAACGCTGAGAATCATCGAGCAAGCGTACACTTCAAGTCTGCAGTACTCTAAACCTGTTCACCTTTCAAGTTGGTTACCTCAGCGAGGAGGGGAGAGGCGGCGGTGGCATTAATTCGTACAGGGGTTCGGAGAGATGACATTGTGCATTGGCCTCCCTTACGGTCGATCAGCGGTTTGGTCCACACTAGAAACGTGGTCCTTGGGTCAAAGTCGAAGTAACCTCTGGATGCACCAGTTGCCCAATCCCTCAGTTGGGCACGACAATACGGAATCTAAGGTATTACAGTTGTCTTTACCCAAGATTCTAGGGTGTTAAAGTTGAGTCATGAGGGTTAGTGTTAAGGTTACTGTCAGGGTTGAAATTGAGACACTGGAATAGGCATCCCATGGAAGTTAGCGGGAGGCCACCTGTAGTACTGGGGGTCCGCATCTCCCTGTCCGATCAATCCCTCGACCGTCTTTAGATCACCAGTACGTTCAGGACAAGTTTCGCAAGCGTATGGCAGAACGGCCTTCATCTAAGCCTCGTACGCCTGAATCTGCACCTTTCGTCAACCCTCGTGTCGGGACCACAGACACGTCTAAAGTTGGCAGAGCCTGTTGGACTGGTGTTGTAGACGGCAGTCTATCTCCTCCCGGTAGCACGGGGAACCAATGTAGACAAAACATAAAACCGCTTTGCGCTTCTCTAGGCGAAGACTTTTTGCGGTTTGAGGCCATCGGGTGGCCCCTTGGGGTCTCCAGCGTTCATTCTCAGGCCCGCGTCTTCTTACTTCGAATAGAAAAGGAGGGGGGACAACGGACAACTGGGCGGAAATATTGCAAATTAGATGGCCTGCAGAACACATAAGGGCGCGCGTTTTCCGGTCAGCTCCGTGAACGCGTCGCTGCCATAGGACAAGACTAACCTTAGACTCTCGGCTCTGTTCGTAGGCCATAATTCCGATTACGTAGTCGGTGCCTTCCATCATCCGCGCAACAGGCGACCGGTCCATGGCGGCGAAGGAAAAATCGGCACATTTGCACTCAGTCAGGAAGTCCTCCAGACGGATGCGCTTAGTGAAGGCCGCTCGAACAACATCAAAAGCAATCTAAAGACAGAGGGGGGAGGGTGAGAACGGAAGCGCGGTTAAACCTTTTACATCAGTCAAGTCAATTATCATAGAGGGATTTTTTAAACCATCGGGGTGCTATCTATACGTGTTAAGGACGCCGTATGTGCCATTCATTGTTTATTAGCCGTCGATTTTCCAGCCGCAGGTACTGGCACACTTCGAGTCTTAACCGGGGCCCAACGGGTCACTGTACATTCGATATCAAACAGCCTGTTCACTTTGGCAACCGAGACCGCGTTCTTTTGGCTAGAGTCAGAGGCTTTCCGAGTCGTGCAAGGGTGAAATTCACCAATCTACCACGATTGCGGAACGGAAGTCGACATTTCTGTTTTGGGACACCCGGCTCGGCAGTAGTACTGGCTGAGGGCGGATAACAAGTCAGAAATACTCACTTCAGTATCCCCAATCTGTGTAACACTCCTCGATGACTAAATGTTCCAGGTAACGCGACAGCCCAAATAGGCCCTAGGCTTGGAGCTCAAATGTAGCACGTTCATACCCATGTCCGTGTTGTCATCACATTGAATCGGTAAACATCACCCTCGTGATGCCTAAAAATAATGGGTTAATCGTGCGCCCCAGCAGACATGCGACTTCTGGAGTCCATGCACAATGTAAACGAGGTAGAAATGCTTAGGAGGGCCAATAAGATTGATCTCGGCAGATACTTTTCGATATGCACTCTAAATTTCGCCCTCAGAAACCGTTAGTCTGATTTGTTATTATATCGGTAGCTTCCTCTTTCATTGAGTACTGTTATAAGTTGATCTGTCTGTTCGGACGCGCATCGGGTGAGTATGCCGTATAATGACCAATAACCGGAGCGGTTACAGTAGGTGCAAGTCTTCTAACGCAAAATAAGGTTTAAGCGTAAGGTGAACACTAAAAGTAGTCATTCCATGGATGTTACCCGCGTTCTGTCGCAACGCGATAGACTGGGTTCTTAGAGTCATGGCTATCAGACAACAGCCGATGATATCGCCTTACTTGCTTCAAGTTTTGGTGATCTGCAGTCTATGGTATCACGGGTGAACGAGGTCGCTAAATCGGCCGGTTTGTCCATAAACGCTGGGAAGACCAAAGTGTTCTCAAGCTGCATCCCTGACCAAGAGAAGGCACCCTCGGAATTGATGGCTGTCAACTTGAAGAAGTAGACAGTTTTAAATACCTCGGGACGAGGCTGCTGCCTAATGGACAGAGTAAGGACGACATTGTCTCCCGAATCGATGCTGCCCGCCGGGTTCTTTCAAGCCTTCGGAAATGCCTGTGGAACCGACGTGACCTCTCCATCGCCACTAAGATTGGCGTGTACCGTACATCTGTCCGGTCTGTCCTTCTCTACGGTTGTAAATGCTGGGCTTTACGCGTGGAGGATGAGCGAAAGCTGGAGGTATTTGACCAGCACTGCTTGAGGACCATCCTTCGAGTGAAGTTCACCGACTTCGTCTCAAATGAGACAGTCCGCGCTCGATGCGACATCGCAAGGATAACTCAGGCCATCCAAGAAAGACGACTGGGGTGGTTCGGGCATGTTCTTCGTCGTCCAGCTTAGGAGCTCAGTGTTACTGCCCTCGATCCGGCACCGTTGCCCCACTGGAGGCGTCGAAGAGGGGGTCAGTTCAAAACCTGGCTCAACACAGTTCGTCAAGGCATGGAGGTGGTTCTTGGACCTTCGGTATTCGGTCTCCGTCGTTGGCGAAGGGAATGGGTTGAACTGTCCAGATTTGCTGCCGCGGATCGTCACGCGTGGAGAGGTACAGTTCAGGACATCATCGAGGCCGGCTACATCAGGCATGATCGCAGCCGTATCAAGTACAAGTAAGTATCAGACAACCCATATCACGGTAATTCCCGGTTCGTATGCCAGGGATATTGGCCATACTGATGACACTGCGTTGGTGGGTAACAACCTGGGAAAAAGCATTGATGTCCTAATTATCAAGACGTTGTCTGCGGTGAAAGTAAAAAGTGGCCCTGAAAAGCTGAGGATGATCGCCTTTGGTTTGGAGCTCGGTGACGACTCCCCAATCTTGAAAAACAGTGGGTCCCTTAACTTATCCGGCAGACACTGATATCTTCAATCGTGGTTTGTGCAAAAATGACAAGGTAAAGATAAAGGCGACCACGGAATCGGCTAGACGCAAGTAACTTCTGTTCGAATCCATTGAAAATTTGAATCTATGCGTGACCCAGTTAGAAAATAGACCAAAGTCGAGGCTTTTATCGAGACCATCCTTTCACCAGTATGCAAGACGTGATCGATGGACTCAGAAAGTGTATGTCATCCGAAGACCTTTGGATGGTGTTGCCTTAACTTCATCCACCGAATTCGCCTCTCCTATTGTGCTTAAAAACGAACGACCGCGGCCGTTTCTAAGTCAACATACTGCATTCCGAACGACCAGCTCCCACTGTATCCGGTTACCAGCAGGTCCACCACTCTGTTATCTCCACACCTATTCGCAAACATAATATTGTCTTCTGGCACAATCAGGCGTGAATAAGATAAGTCCTTGAAATGCTACGGGTCGACCCAATACAATGAGAGTTCATTTGAGTCTGTGACTATGAACATAGTTGGCCCGTCGTGTCACCCACTGGCTGCATGGGTGTTCGTTGAATTGCGGGACGAAGCGAACTCGTAGTGGATTTGGAGCCCCACCGACTGAAAAGTAGCAGAAAGCCGCTTTCCTGTGAGCAGTTGGAGGGAGAGCCTCAATATGTTAGCTGTATTTTCAGCCGGGTTTTCTGAGTGAAATCTTGTTGCTCTCAGAGTTTTCCATAACGTTGGAGAGGGCGTGCTTGGTTGGGTTGACAAGTAACTTTCCGCTTGTCCCGACACTGGAAGCAAGCTCAATCTAGAGTAACAAAAGCTGTCAACTAGTTCGAGAGCTTCACTATGTATCAAAACACAGTGGCCAGTGAAGCGTACAAAGTTGAGAGTCCGATGCCCATATGAAAGGTGTCAAGACAAGGTGGCATAAATATGTCGAAAGCCGCACTTTTCCGGGAAGGGGAAGGGGGAAAATAATTCCCTCCATGGTAGAACAAACTTAGACCTAGCGAGCAAAGTACGCTTCGAAATCTCACCATCGTTTCGTTCATATCGATGGCATGTCGTGTGGCATCCTTAACTGTCTCCTCTGCAAGGTACAGTGGCACCCTCAAACAATTCATATAGTAAGGTCATATGTTATGTGCGATATTAGAAGCGGTATTTTATACGGGTAAAACTTGCAACACTTGTCCTAATAAATGCACAGTAAACGGTAAAGCGGGTACACCAGCGGTGTTCACCCACCACAGATCGAGGTTTTTCTGGATGCGGCTCTGTGAGGTTGACTGGCGTGGAGTGACCAAGTTTTGTGGGTGCAGAGGAGGGAGCACGTGAAGGCGAGGGACAACTGGTAGGGATATTGTGCTGATCTGCTGATTGACTGCTGTCCGAGGACCAATTAACAGGTGCGCCGTGCACGTTTTCCTCAACGAGACGCGCGCTACTTTCGTCATTATTGGGAATGTCGCATCGGCGCGCAGACTTGGCGTGAAAACTTTCTACTGAAGAACTGGGAGACTGTTTGCGGCGTCGGCGGCCCGGGTGGTAATTGTCTAAATCCAAAAAATTCCCAGTGGTCAACCTAGACTACAGCTGAACGAACAGAAAAAAACGGATTCAAAGGTAAAAGAACACACATCAATCTTAACCCCATTAAGCTTTAGCGTCACCAATTACACGCGTAAGTCACAAAAAGGACCGCTAATTTATCACCAACGTGGAGTCCCTTATTTTAAGTTAGTACATTTATCAGTGCGCTAAAATTATGGACTAACGCACTTTTGTGAGGAGAACTGGGGAGAGAAGCGTCCTTCGGCCGAGTTACCTGAAAGAATAAATGAATAAAGGAAGTCTCGAATAAACTAACAATGTCAATGTGGTTGGTGATATTTCCAAAGACGGGACGACCGCCAAGGTGGGGTTGGTGATTTGTTGACATTTCGAGATCCTGTGGTGATGGTGATGCCTTTAGCAACCTTTTCGACCGGGAACAATCACTGTGGGCATTCAATCAGCATGTTTATTTTAAAGTTCGGCCATTTCCATGAAAGTATTTTCAAAAACACTTCGAGATCGCGGAGCAAGCGATACAACCAGGTGATTTCCCCTTTGACGGCTAACCTGAAACAATAAAGCCAGTAAGAATACGGCACAAAACTGTTTTACGTTGCCAACCAATCATAATTAAGATCTATTAGAAGCGCCCTTCGAAATGAAAAATCACATTCTCGCCTTTTCATTGGTTCAGTTTTCTAAATCACATTTATTTTCGCAGTGACTAAACAACGCAAGTGTTGCATATTAAAAAGATCTTATGCAATCTATTTGGTAATTGTTCTGGGACCTGGAGTAGTTTCTTGCCTTTCCCTTTGTCACGTGGTCCAGAGGAAGTTTTGCATATTCGAGTGCATGAACTTGTGTTGGGAATTTTTTAATTCATCAGTTTCTCTAATTAAGAGACAGTGACATGATGTAAGAAAAATAGCAAGATCAAAATCCCAGACCATGACAAGGTAACGCGCCTTTCTACACAAGGCTTTATAGGTAATGAGTCCAAACGATTCACTTGTCTTAACATGTCTTAACGAATGCCTTATTTTTGTCCAGTCGCTGGTTAAGTCGAGAATCCCATTACTTCTTCCTAAATGTGCAATCATATAATTTAGAGTCTCGCCGAATTAATTCGTTTCTGTGGATCTCTGTCTTTCGGTGCGGGTCCGAATTCACCTGCTCCCTACGTGTTATGTTATAAACTCCCATATTTACGGATTTGATTATGTCGTAGCCTTCTGTCAACAAGGCGTTATTCCCGCTCGTGTATTTCTTTTATGTACTAATTTTCTTGGCCCTGATCCTAAAATCGGCCACGCGGTCGATACGCCGGATCAACTGAGGGACTGTATCGGAGTCCGGCGGGCGTAATAGGGGACGTGCATCAATGGCAAATGCTAATATTGCGGTGTGGTAGCCGGACCAATCACCGGTTCACGCCGCGGAGTTAATCAACCGTGCAACCCAATTTTTTATCGTCAGGCCCATTCCTGATTAGTATGCGTTATGGACCAGGTGTGGCGATGCACCTACGTGCGGGTTTACGCCGTACCAGCCATGCCTACCCTCTGCCGCCCCCGGTTTTTTCACTCTGTCATGACCCAGATCCGGGCGCGAGAGGAGGATAGAATGGAGTAGGTGCTGACCAAGTCTAATATAACTATAGACGATTTCGCGAGCAAATTACTGTCCCTGCTTCCACTTTTCTGTGAAACAGATGGTGGGCATCGATGGCAACAGCGGTCGGACTGTCATTTGTCTTGGCAACTCTGTTCGTCTACGTACTTTCGTGTCGCGTTTCCGCCCTATTTCAGTATACCCAGAATTTTAATTTATTTCGTAAAGATTGCTCGTTATTTATTTCCAAGTGGTAAACTTAGGAACAATCCTGCTGTGTCCTGGGGTACAAAATTACTGCTGCGGACGATTATTCGTCCGACTAGATTAGTCTTTCCGGTGGTGGCATCCCAGCGACCGAATCCGTCGTTAACTAATTGGACGGGCTACTCGGTCATGTATCGTTTTCGCGTACTCTTCCGCAGCACGATTTCAAGGAGGATTCCCCTTTTTTCTTGCTGCACATTTAGTTCTGCCTTGGCGAATTCATGCATGATGATTGAATCAACTGAATAGCATGTCCCTGGGGGGAACATCTGAAAATAATTTTTTCACAGTCGTCCGCACAAATACACCTGGACAAACTGCGTGACTACTCCACTGCTCTCCTTCACTGTTCACTTTCTGCCGATACAACCACTGAAGTTTTGAGCAACAGACGACGCCATTCGACAGGAACACGACGACAATTTGCCGATCATGTCTCTATTATTCCTCATAATAGAAGCACACCCCTTGTAACCGTCGGGCAGTGAACTGCTCCACTTAATCACTTTACCGAAGTTTCATCACCATCCGGTCTTACCACTTCAAGCTGAGCCTACAAGAATGCGCAAGGAAGAGCCCTTTGGCTCACTATCCCTCTGACAAACGGAATGAGAACGTTTTCTGTAAGAAAACCTTCATCATAGACTTAAAACTCAACCGGATATATTTCCCCAAACATCAGTAGTTCATTAGTCTTTGTTCATCAAGGAACACACTTGCACAATCGCCTTATAACTTGAACATTTCCTCCTTCTCTGGAAATTTATGTTTTGCTTCGGTAATCCTTCCTCAAAATAGGAAAGCCTTAGTCGGATGTGTATATAATCCTCCTTGTTCCTCCGGTAATGAAAGCCA